GGAAATTAATTGTTACTCACGTAGTCTAAAACTAATTTTCATTAAAATGTTGTTATATTACCTGTAAACATTGCATGTAAAAACCTGTAAATATCCTGTCGATGACTCATACGATGACTGCAGGCGTGAACAGTTCGGAAGGGTTTTTTGTGCCACCCGGTAATTAGTCAAAGATCAGTTTCATGTTGAGAAAGAAAACTCCACTCACTGCATAGGAAGCCATCCTGAACATAGCCTTCTTCGCATCGACAAGTTTTGGAAAATACGTCGCAGGTTGCATGATCTGTCACGCAATTATCCACGCAGATATCATTCAGCCCTGCGGTTCCCTCCGGTGGCACTGCAAATTATTACATGATTAAGTAGGTTGCCAAATTTTCATTATCGCACATTGCTTTCAATTTTTTTTACCATCCCTGGAGCTGTTAAATAAATTTCTACAATTTATTTAACAGGTCCATTTTATCCGTCGAATATGTTCAAGAAAGGCTATTTCCGTTCTGATCATTGTTAAATTCTTCATTATCGCCTAATTACTGCTGATAAATGCATTTCAAAGTGACTGGATGCTTACTGATAATAAATCAATTACTATGAAGATTCACCTCTCAAATTTTAGCGTCCAAAATTACAATGTACGTTGAAAGAGCTTTTCAAATTCGTGTACTTACAACAATGGTCATCTTGCTCGATGAAGTCACTATTGATACAGCGGCACTTATTCGGAGAACAATGAGCATTTTTTACACAATCCTGCGAAGAATGACACTTATCGGCCAGGAGCACCTCTGAAAAAAAAAGAAATATCATTCAGGGATGACCATAACTTATAATGTGAGAGATTCATCAAATTTGCCTTGTATCGCAAATGTATCTTTAATGAAACGGAAACTAATCTTCAACTTTTCTTCCTTTCTTCTTTTCTACTTCCTCCACAAAGAATCAGTAATCTACAGGAAGAGGAGTGTTTCTCGACGGGACGTTACAGTGTTCTGTAGTCGAACTGTTAGTGCTCAAGAGAGATCTTCCTTTTCTCTCATTGGGCCAAATAATTAATTGTTGCTTGGAAACCTGTTCCGATTCGCGATTTTTGAAAGGTACTGGATTTCGGAAAAACGCCAGTTGCGACGCGTTGATCCTTCTTCCCTAACGCAAAATTGAAGATCTCAGTACTAAAGGAGTTTTCAACATTTGGTCTGAAATTTGATGCACGATTTATTCGTTTTCTGCGAAAAATATCCTGTAGGTTTCACTCAAGTCCTAAAACATGGGTCAAGTGGAAAAAAATTAGATCAAATATGTATATAGTAGGCGTGAAATGTTATTGTTGCTAATTTGCTATTAAAAGCATTTTCAGCTTTCTAACCCATACAGCATGGATGCTACAGAGATCAGTCGATCTTTGAACATTCGTACATACTTCAACGCAAAAAAATCTAAAAATAAGGACGAGCCTGGAACATGAATTAACGTATAGTCGAAAAAAAAACTAAATTAAGTGGAAAACGTCAACCTACCAAACAACGAAGCCAGGTTGGTTTTAATTTGATTGCCACCAGGCGTGTATGGCACCAGGCGACCGCATAGTTGGTACGTATAAGGACCAGACTCCTGCATATCTGCTACTAACAGATTTACCTCAGGAGTTCGCTATCTGGGCATTCCAAAAATGTTTATTTGGTATGTAGCATTTCTGCTACGTCATGCATTAATGGGTTAAACCGATTATGACCAATTTTTACTTTTCTGAATTGTCTTCACATCTAAGGCGAAATTTGTAGTTTCTATTCACTTGCGAAGAATTTCAAAAACTTAGGTCAGGTTGAAAGATTATTGTTGTTCCTAATGAAACTTGGAATAAATTCGGTCCGCGAATCCAACAATTGAGGAAGAATGTCAAACTTGTTGAAGCCAATTTCACTTCTCCGTCAAATTGAAAGACTATGAAGAACAAGTTTGAATCAATTATTCCCACATATACAATTTCAATTTCATTCAGGACTAGCGGCCTGCGGCCGCTACCCTGGTCGTCGAATAAGTGGAAATTTGATCCGTCTATTGTGAGCATAACGTCTCCTTGGCAATCCTTTGTTAATGCCATTACCCATTCGGAACTGAACCGCTTCCTTGCATTTATACACACACACTCAATGTCCACAAAAATAGAGATACCTCGCTAGTAGCGTGTTGGGCCGGCTTTGGCCATCAAAACAGCATCAATTCGTCGTGGCATGGATTCCACGAGGTGCTGGGAACGTTCTGCAGGTATCCCGGCCCATGCTGCTAGCACAGCGTCACTCAGTTGCCGCTTGTTTGATGGCAGTACAGGCAAGCCCCGCACAGGCCGTTCCACCTCATCCCAAAGATGTTCTATTGGATCGAGATCAGGGGACTGCTCGGGCCACTGGAGCAAGGTAAACTCCTGGGCATGTTCCTCGAACCAATCCATGACGATACGACCCTCGTGGCACGGTGCATCGTCCTGCTGAAAGCATCCATTTGCTAAAGGGAAAACGGTGGTCATAAAGGGATGGACCTGATCAGCAACAATTTTCAGGTATGCCGTACTTCCCTGACGACCTTCCAGGGTTATGAGGGGAAGGGTTTGCCAACAGAACACACCCCACACCATCACAGAGCCGCCACCAGCCTGTAATGTTGACACCAAACAGGAGGGGTCCATGGATTCATGTTTCCTGCGCCAGATTCGCATCCACCCATGGGCGAAATGCAACTTGAACCGGGATTCATCTGACCACGCAACCTTTTTCCACTCGGCAATGATCCAGTGACGATGTTCTTTTGCCCAGAGGAGTCTCGCTTTCCTGTTTTTGTCCGACAACATTGGAACCTGAACTGGTCTGCTGCTGTAGACCATCCGCGCTAAGGTGCAACGGGTTGTGTGCACGGATATGCTTTTCGGGACACCAGCGTTGAATTTTGCCGTGATTTGGCGTATTGTAGTACGCCTGTTGTCCGAAACGATACGTGACAGCCTTCTCTGACCTCGAGCATCAACGAAACTCTGCCGTCCACAGGATGCCCTTGCAGCCGTTCTTTTTCGCTTACCACACCATTCACGGTATACCCTTGAAACTGTAGCACGTGAAAAGCCTAGCAGTTTGACGGTTTCCGCGATACTCAAACCAGCTAGTCTGGCACCAACGACCGTTCCACGTTCAAAGTAGCTGAGGTCTGTTGATTTGCCCATTCTCCAGTCAAAACACACACACTAAAGCAGGGCTGCCTGCTTTAGGTCACAACCTGACCTACCTAACCTAGGTTAGGTTATGCTGTAGCTGCATGGAAAGTTGAATGTAGGGGTATCTCTGATTTTCTGGACATTGAGTGCATAGCTTACAGTAGAAAGGGAGATTCTGTTCCTAAACACCATCATGATATTCCAGCCGATTGCCACAATCGGTTTAGCACGGTTTCATGAGACTTAACACGACTCTGCTGATTCGTCTCCCTAGCACATTCAATACTCTTGCATCATCGATTAGCTCATATCCTATTAGCGTTAGCATATAGTACAGACACCAATGATTCTGAAACAGTACGGGCCATTTTCAAGAACTTGTTCGAGGGCAAAAAGGGAATTTAGTACATGTGCGGCACAATGCTAGCGACTAATTCCAGAAAATGCCGGGCCATCACATTACCCTTAGGCTCTTAAAGTGTTCCTCACTGGTGCTAATGTGTGAGTTGCAGCAGGAGCATTTTTTCGTTGTGTAACAAATGCCTCCTCCCTACAGCAAAATGTACAGCCAGACAGTGCTCGCTGCGCAAACGACTGAAGTGATATGAGATGGCATGGAGAGACCTGACGAAATGTCTCGAATTCCGTGGTGTAATGGTAGCACACCTGACCGCCAAGCAAGAGGACCGGGTTCAATTTCCGGCCGCCCCCCAGCTTTCGACACCTGAGTGCTGCGTTCCTTGCATCAAGTTGCTCAGCAGGCTGCACGGCTCACTTATTCCGGAGCTCAGCATTCGCTGCCCCTCGTTTTTCAGCGGTCTCAGCGGCCCTACGAACATCTGCATGCTGTTCATCACTGATTCTAGCCATTACAGCTAGCACCGATTTAGGCACTTCGCAGTGGCAAACGTTGTTTCCGTGCCAGCACCAACCATTTTTTACCAGTAACAACTGCGTCATCGCTGTCATGTGTGACCTTCAACATTTCTTCTTCGCATTCAACCTCACCTCACAAAAATTGCCATCAATTTCATAGGAGGTGCACCTGGTTTGCGCGGCATATGAAGCAGAGCCTTTTTAGACTATTATTTTGACTTCATCAATCATGAGAACTCAAATACATCGGTCCTGCCATGAAAGGCAAACAGAACACTATTGCATGGAAGCGATGGCGCGAACCGCCACATCTGACCTAACGGAAAAAACAAGTTAATAGAAAAAAAACACCTTAGCACAGAATGTATTCAAGTGAACTTGCAGTCGATCAATGAAAACGTGACAAGCATTCAGTTAGTATCACCCTTTGCTTGTCACAGCTAAGTATGAAGCCTATGGAAATGATCGGATGAGCCAAAGCCTATGGCTCACACTGATGTAGCCCGATGGACCTGGCGCTAAGTGAAATGGATGGGCAATCATTTGGCCTAGAATAGCATAGCTCCATGGACCTGGCGCTTTGAGCGGTGGATGGTCTAGCGTATGACCTAAAATGAAGTCGTCTCGTAGGCCTCGCACGTTCCGGTGATAGCCACCACCACAACTTCTTCCCAGCACATTCAATACTCTTGCATCATCGATTAACACATGGGTTAGCAAAGTTTTTCCTTTGGAATTCATGACTTCCATAGCTGCCTTTGTTGCTCCTTTTTTGCAATTTCGCGAACTCTACAGTAGCAGCGGTCAAAACAATCACCCTAACACACAGTAACGATTTTTTTGCAGAATCCATGACAATGGTAAATTACGGAAGTTTCCATCCACAGAATGATGCCGCTCATTTAAACGCAAAAAAATCAGACTAAAAGAGCTTGTAGGCCAGCCCTTTCAAGAGTAGGAGGGCATCACTGGTGGATGACCTCTGAGGCCCTCCCTGTTGGGGGAGAACAGAAGGTGACCCTAACACTAGACAGCATGTCTCTGATAATGTTGCCATGGAAACTAAGGAGGCTTCGTGAAATGCATTTGAGTTGAGTTAGATAAAGTAAAGATAACGTAAATATAAAGTAAAGATGAAGTAAAGTTGAAGACGTTTCGTGAAAAAGGCCCATTTAGTATGGAAAGGAATGGGAGAAATAGTGTATCAATATTCTTCAAAGGTTCTGATTGGCTCGTTAAATGCACATAAATTCTAGGGGAAATTTAACATGAATCTTACTAAAATAATTGCAAACATGCTGTTTGGAATGCAAACGGGAATTCAATTTAACGTAAATTCAATGTTAATTGCATATCACCGTTTACGTATCACAGTGATAACATTTATGCAAATATGTTGACATTACCTTCACAATTGCTTCCGTGAAAATGATATAAAACGGAAAAAAATTTCCATTCATTTTACGTAAAATTAACGTAAACATGCTGTTTGTGAGGATGAAGCGATGAAGGGAAAACTTGCCGAGCTAGTCGAACGCTCCGAGGGATGGGGAATTGGGTTACTGCACTGATTAGGCCAGTTTCCTTTTCTGCTTCCCTTAATTCACTCTTATTTGCTTCAATCGTTTATCTTTCGTCTCTAAAGCTATGGAAGAACCACATCCACAAATCCAGTTTCGCCTGATCAGTGTAGTCTCCCTTTTCCCCATCCCTCGTGGCGTTCGGCTGGCTCGGCATGCTTTTCCTGCATCGCTTTATCTTATGACCTTGAAACTTTGCTCTATTGCAACAAACATCAGTAGAAGTTCTTGTTTCGCATTTCGCCAATAAACTCCTTATAGATTCTTTGTGGTTGATAGGTATGACCCTTCCGACCCCATTTAAAGTGGGATATTTTGCACATATTCTCTGCGAACATTCAACCTAAGACCTTGAAACTATCAAAACTTTCACTACGCACTGATAGGAGTATGATTACCAAATCTCATGAAGATCTCTCAACTCCTTGGTGGAACTTTTTTTTGGCGATAAGTGTATAGGACACATGTCCTGCTATAGCACACGTCAAGTAAACCTAAAAAAAGGCTTAATTGCTATTATCCATCTAATACGTAAGGTCAAAACGTATATATTGTAATTCAATGTTGGTATTGGTATGAACTTCGCACCCCGCACTAAAAAACCACGTACTGATCTCTTGATTAATGTGAGGGCTTTTCGCATAGCATAGTTTTATAATCCATAAATATTTTCCTTTTCTTCGAAGGGGCAGCGGATGAAGGCAAATTACTCACTACAATATCCATCTTCCGGATTAAAAACAATGTTATCTTCCTCGTTGCATCGGCAAAAATATCGTCCTCCTTCCTCCTGGCAAAGAGCATGGACCACGCAATCACTGTCGTTGGAACACTCTCCTCCTTCTTTTGTCTCTGTCGATATAGGAAAAATGGGAACAATGTGTAATATGCAGCAAATTGTATTCTACCAGCAAATCCTCACAGGCCCTGCTCGAGGACAGAGTGTGTTTCTACCCAGAATCGACCTCGCTTCTTCGGATCCAGGTATGCCTTTCACCTTACGGCGAAGGCAATTTCCGCTCTGTTTGACCTTGCGATTTACTGATGGTCATAGCAAATCCCAAACATTTACTAAAGTTGGGATTTATCTGGCCAGACCAGTGTTCACACACGGCTAATTTTACGTTGCGTTTTCAAGAGCTCCCTCTAAGACCGATGTCAAAGTCAATGTTCTTACAACAGATATCCAGGGTCAACTCATACACACATCCCAACAAAATGTTCACACAAAACTCCATTTTACAAAGAAGTGCTACAAAGTCTTCTATATGCAGATGCAACCCACAGGGATGGTTGGGTGGAAACCTCTGCTACATCATACTTCGATGTAAAAGATAAGCTGTGTCTACGGTAACCCGCGTGTACAGGTTAGACACAGAGGATCCGGGGCTTCGACTAGACTTATTTAAAGACAATTTGCAAATAAAGCCTGATGGGGCCATATCATACAATTTTTTTTGGAAAATTACATTAGTAGACTTACTCCACTAATGTTGTTTCCCATGAAGTCATTTAAAGCAGTGGTTCTCAACTGCTGGGCCATGGGCGTGCCACTGGTGGGTGGGCCGCAACAAGTACCCATAAATTACAAAATAACAAATTAACAGAAATAGCTTTTATGTCTGCAGTGGGCCTTGGATCACTTTGCAATCGTTAAGGCGGAGCGTGGGATCGAAAAAGTTGAAAACCACCGACTTAAAGGACAAAATTGGGTGAATAATGACTTTTGAGCGGTCCGCCGGAAAATTAACTTCAGCAGCACGATAGTTTGTGCGCACGCAGAGGTCACTCATGGTTAGGCACAGAGTCGATTGACAACATTTAAAGCAACATGTAAGTTGAACGCAGGCATTGCAATATATAAAGTAATACACTCACTGCATTCACCATTATCCACCAGGTATCCATCTTTGCACTGACATACGTTACGATCTGGTTCGAACTGTGAGGGGGCACATTCAGAAGAGTTTAGTGTGCATGTCTGACCACCGAGGGTACACTCTTCTCCCAAACCCAGACCTATAAAAAACCAAGCCAGGCATTACTCAGCTACATGAATCTCTCACTCGATTCTAAGGCACATTCAAACTCTCTCACCCATGGAGAAGGAAGCACAATAGGATGCGCCGAAGACGAGGATGAAGGCAATTTCCATGTTACCTGGTAGTCAGAAATATATATTACTTGGAGGAAAGTATGAATAGATAGTTCAGTAGAGGGACTCCCGTAAGCGATGTGCTGCTTCTTATAAAAGCGATAGCCTCGTATTTGAAGTGGCACTGATAATCCAAGCTTGAGATAATGCTAGCACTTTGCCATGAATGGACGTTAAACATACTTTCATATGTTTCCCATTGATTCCATAAATGGAACTTGTGTGGTACGGATGATAAATGACTGGTTAAGGTAAGTTAGGCAGAACTCAAGACAGACAACAGAGGACAGCAGTAGCAGGTCCTGAAAAATATTAACTTTCGCCTACCTCACATCATTTACTTTGTTCATGTTTCCTCAGAGGCAAGAAGATGATGAAAAATGCTTCGAAGCATGATTATTTCTTGATATGTCACATCAAGTTCCGCGAGGAGGAAAAGCAGTAATCCACCACATACTAATCGCACGAAAAAGGTATTTGCCTGACTTGATCGCGTCCTTTTGGGCTTGTTTTCGTTGATTGCGAGTAAATGGATAGAATGTCTAGAATAGATACATTATGACCTTGATGAAGGGCATGAGTAAGAATAGAGAAGAATTGAATTAAACTCGTGAGACAAAATATTGCAGGAGCAGATAGGGCAATGCATAGGAAAGGAGACCAGATTTTTCTCATGTATATATTTTCGTCATTATCAGCATTATTGATAATATGATGGTATGAATCAGATGTATTGAGAGAAACAGTGAACGTAAATTTAATTACTTTGCTCTAACGTGGCGGTGTAAGGCTGGGAATCATGTGATAACATCGTCAAGGTAACTGTGAATTTCCATTAATAGTAGTTTGTCTAGTCCCATGACTATGCAGCATGAGCCTTTACGAGGGTGCCATATCTTATTACTTGGCAAAAAAAAAAGATTCGTCAAATCTCTGCTGTGGGAAGGGATTGGGAAAGGAGGAGCGCATACGTATAACGATTGTTATTCTTCCTGTTTTCTGTGCACCACGAGTAGCTTATTCTAGAAGGGGACAAAATATTATTCCATTCGCTTCCGAAATTTTCTATATCCCTGTCTCCGCGATACTTATTTGTATGAATAATCTGTTTGCTAGTTTTCATTTATTCTTCCCTGCACCTTGTAAATTGGTCTCCATCGATTGCATTTAGTTCGAAGAGGTTATGACAAGAAATATTATCTGGAATTTCAGATGAGTGATCCTGAGAGGAGAGGAGGGAAAGATTTGCTTGACTTTCATGTGGAAGGCCCTTCAAAACGATGCGAAACTGGAAAATAACGCGTCTACTGCTCTTTCCCGAAGTGTGAGCTTACAATATGATACAAGGGCGAATGAGGAAAGAACTGAGAGCCTTATCTATGCCGACGAAGGCGTTCTAAACAAACATCACGTCTCCTGATATACACCACTTGACGCTTCCTTGATTACCTTTTTTTTCATAGCATTTAAAAATGAGTTGCCTGAAGCGTGAAGTATTCTACATCTTTACAACTACGGAAGAGGAATCCCCACCCGTTCCGCCAATTCGGGTCGCCCTGACCCTAACTTCTGTTTCTTCCTAGACCACACCATCTGCTTTTGCATGGGCGTCAACCTCTGTTAGGATTTAATCACCACATCCTGGTCTTCATTAAAGAGTCATTTTGGCCCCCGGTTTTTAAGACGGCTTTGGTTTGTGATCGAAACAGGCGACATCCGCACACATGTCTACGGTAAGTTGAAATGGAACGTTCAGCGCCGTGAACTAATATCTGCACTGATTAACTCTTCAAGCTCATGAAGGACAGAACATTCCCTGCGGTGTTAATATTTTTTTTCAGCTTCGTGCATGTGAGCAAGAGAATTCATAAAACTGTTGAAGATATGTAAAGTGTAAGTACACAATTTTAAAGTTGATTCATTCCAATTTCAAATACTGCAAAACGCATTCGAATATTGGGTCTAAGCGAAAGTTCTGTCGGTTTTTAAAGTGAAACTGATTATTTTTTCTCAGTTTATTAACTGCTTTAATCTTAAGTGTAATTTCCCTCATTATTTATAACTGTCTCTCATATGTTCAGCAACTTTTCAATTCCATCCGCATGAAAATCTTCCGGCTTGGATGCGAAAAAGTTATCACTAGCCGTTTCGACAGCTCCAAAAGAGGTGAAGTTTTTTTTCATCGATATGGTTCTGCAGCGATCAGAATAAATGCCAGTCAGACAGTGCGAGATCTGGGGAATATGCTAGATGGGCAAGGATTTACCAACTGAGTTCCTTCACTTGTTTTGTGTCTTCATCGCCAAATGTTGTCGCGCATTGTCTTATTGGAATACGGCGCCCCTTCTGTTTACCAAAGATGGACGCTTCATAGCGAGAGTTGAGTTGAGATTTTCGAGTCGTCGGTAGTAATTGTCACCATTAACATTTTCGTTGGATCTCAAAAGCTCATAGAAGAAAACTCCCTTACAATCCAACCAGCCAAAGGTCGCAACCCTAAGATCCGCTATAACAGGAAATTAAAAATGAGAGAAAGGCAAGTGACACCGAATTTCAAATCGCAAACCTGACCTCGATGTTCCCTGGTTCACTGTGTAGTTTTGCTGTCTTAATGGCCGGGTACTCTTTATGATCTCCTCCTTTCATCCTGAGGCGGTTCCCAGTCTTATCTCCAATGCTGTCGCTAACCATGAAAAAGATCCTCCCGTCTTTCGCTGAGAAGAACAGAAACTTGTCTCGGTGACCAAACTGGTCACAACCTGCGGAGAAAAATAAGCGTGAGTGTTGCAGGAAAGCAGTCGGGCGGCTTGGATATGTTTTCAATATCTTAGACCAGTATTTCTCAAACTTTTTTGGGCCGCGGCACACCTATCTCCCGCGAACTTCGCGGTACACCAAGCATGAAATCATAACGAAGGAGCCTGATCTTTATTTAATGTGACACATGAGCCTGCTCTCCAGAACTGAGGCGCTTGATCCTGGGTGTAATGGTCGAAATGGCAACTCTCATCTCAGGGTCGACGGTTGTCAATCGCTCCCTTCTGTTGTTCTTGATGAAAGTCATTGCAGAGAAGCTCAATTCACACAAGTATGTGGTCGAAAATGGCAACAACGCTGAGACAGCACGTTCGGAGATTGTTGGATATCCATTCTTTATCAGTAGCCAAAATGTGTCTTGCGGTACTTCCGCGAGCTTCATCTTCAATGTGCAGTCCATCCTAAGTTCTGTAAGTTCCTCTTGAGCCTTTAGTGGGAGTTTCTTCGCGGATTCAAACGAAGACGGACTGAATGGGTCCCGTACCCAGTCAAATTCTTCGAGGTTTGTTGACCGGAAATAGGAGCAGAATTTTGCATGAAGTGTGTCAAGGTGTTCTGCGATAATCTTCGGTAGCTTGCTAGCAGTGTCAGCTGCACTCGCCAGGGAGAACATTTCGATTGAACCGCATGCCACTTGTTCACGCCAAAGGGCTAGTTTTCCCCTGGAACCTTCCCATTCGTCCATGCTTGTCAGAAGGTTTTCGTTTCTGCCTTGAATTTTCTTGTTCAGCTAATTGAGATGTGCGAAGATATCCGCAAGGTAGGCAAGCTTCGCGGTCCAGTCTTCATCGGAGATTAAGTCTGTGTATGGCGATTCTTGCTAAGTTAAAAAAAATGTTAAGCTCATTCCGGAGTTCACAAACACGAGATAGAACTTTTGCCACGAGACAACCATCGCACTTCAGTGTGCAGGAGCAAGGATTGACGTTCTGCTCCCGTCTCATCGCACAGAACGGAGAAGAGGCGAGAATCCAGAGGCCGTGATTCTACAAAATTCACGATCTTCACAGCTTCATCTAACACTGACTTGAGCCCCTCTGGCAAAGTTTTAGCCACGAGGGCTTCACGGTGTAGAACGCAGTGGTTCACCTGTACATCGGCGTTTCGCTCATAGACCTTGGCCACAAGCCCCTTCACATTGCCTGTCATCGAAGCCGCGCCGTCCGTCCAGATACTAATGCAGTTTTCCCACTACAAATCACTTTCCCCGTCGAGGTACTCATTCGTGACTCGAAATATTTCATCTCCAGTCGCATGCTCTGGTAGTTCTTTGTAAAAGAAGAAATTCTCTTTGATTGAGTCATCATCAACATATCTGACGTTTGCGATGAGCTGAGCGCGACCGCTAATGTCTGTCGATTCGTCGACCTGCAGGGAAAATTTTCCGCTTAACTTCAGTTTCTCTCGTAGCACTAACTCGATATCAGCTGACATTTCATCGATACGCCGGCTTATTGTGATGTCTGAGAGAGGCACTTTCGCTACTTCTTTAGCTGAATCAGGTCCTATCATAATTCTCACAATTTCATTGCAAGCCGGTAAAATCAATGTCTCGGCAATAGTTTGAGACTTCTTTGCCTTCGCTACTAGTTGAGCGACTAGATAGCTTGCTTCCTGTGCCTTGTCTGAAACCCTTACAGAATCCCATATGAAAAGAGTTTGCTTCACGTTCTGCTCCTTCAAGCGCTTAAAGTATTGCACGTCCTTGCCGGCGAGAGACAAATGTTTACCTGTGAAATGACGTTTCAACTTGCTTGGCACCATCGCGTGGTTGCTCAATTTCTCCCCACACACAAGGCATTCTGGTGTCGGACAAGACGCATCGCCAGACCACGAAAAACCGTAAGCCAAGTAACTGTCACTGTACTGACGTATCACTGACTTAATCCTCTTCTTCTCGGCTCCATTTGACTCCATATCCTCGGAAGAAAACGCAGAGGTCGGAATGTGTCTCTTCTGCACAAATCTGTCCCTGTTTCTAGAGTGATTCACAGCAGCAGAAATCGCACGGCATACAGCCTCGCAAGTTAGAACGTGTCGCGCAGCCTCAGCGACTCTTGTTCCTGCAGTGTTGCCTAATAACTTGAAGGGAAATTTCTCCCATGATTGTTAACAGTTTCCTCGGCTGGGTGGCAAACTTAGGGAATTTTTTTCCATCGCCCAGTGAATAAATTTCTTGTATTTTCCTTTCACCTTACTGAACATTTCACGGCACACAGTTTGGGAAACACTGTCTTAGACCAACCGTTGACATTCAAATTAAAATGAATAATTCGAACTTTCATGATGATAATTACCCGCTAAGAAAATAATTAATTGTCGGGGGTATAAATAAATGGCTTGAAAGGCACAGATTATGTTTCTGGGTTTTCCGCACCTTTTATGAAATCCCTTTCCTTTCGAGAAAAAGATCACTCCCAAACTGAGGACAATCATTCATAAATATGAAATATATCTGAGTTCAAAATAATTTCAAGTCAGTATGCCTAAAACTAACTTTGATCGGAGACAGGATGTCCAGGAGATCGATTTTCACTGGCAGAGGTGGAGTATAAGTTGTTATTCTTCATCTTAGAGCTGCTGGATTCAAGGTGAGACACTACTACGACTCTAAAAATGGAAAATAAATTATATGTACATATTTAACTTCAAGCCAATGATGAACTCGTCACAAAGTGCTCATAAATGTTGACTCATCAAATTAACAATGAACATTCACTAAAATGGAGTTAGCGATCGAGTTTTTATTTTCGCATGTACAAGATTTCAGTGCTTTACTGTATTCCAGTTTTTGTTATGCTGTGCATAAGATATTAGCATGCACACGGAATCCGGCTACAAGCGGCTCGGTCTACAGAGATATGGTACCTACGAGTATTTACCTGGCCTACATGAACGTAGGAACAATTCTGATGATACAATGCCTTATGCGTGTTCTGTCTCTAGTTCTCCACTTGGCGATGGATTTCTATTGGTGTGGTGCCTCATGCATAAAAAAAAACCGAATAGCACTCCGCACTTGAACCTTTGACCACGTTCTTTGAGGGCCGCCATCATAACTGGCATTTAACGCATGCGCAGTACTGCACAGATATATATTTTTATATAGAGAGATATATTTCATATATATAGATATATGAAACGGAAGCCTTCTTATCACAGTACTACGTCACCAAAACAGTACTTCGAAACAAACAATAACTTCTTCCCAGCAGGCCCTGTTACCTTTTTTTTTAACACCCCAGTATATCACATAATCCATCACCGATTAGTCGGGACGCAGTACCGCGAGGACTGTTAGACTGTTAGTACTTGCAGATATCCTTCCGCACAAAGAATATTTCGCCATGGTGAGGCCATGGCCGCGCCCTCCACTGGAGCAGAGAGGTCGCAACGACAGCGGGTGAAAATCAAAAATGAAGCCCGTGGATTACTGCGGCATGTCACGCCGATAAAGCATGATAATCCATTTCATCAGCAATCTTTGTAGCAGCATGCGTTACAATCGTCGCCTCTGCCGACACATCGTCGAGGATGTGGGTTCGAGCAGAGAGACGTTCCAGCGCCTTATGAGCAGAGAGACCCGAAGCAGGGAAAGTGTTGAGGTTGATCATGTGTCGTAATGAAAGTGTGATGACAGGGTGTTACCTATTGACCTTCGACAAAATTTAAAATACGTTTGAAATTTCTATGAGCTAGTTGTGCTTGCTCTGACGACAATGGAAATAGGTTTTTCCCTAATTACGCCAATGTTAATTTTCTACTGAACTAATTAGCCCTAAACCTTTAAAATTATCTTAGTATCCATGAAGTACACAGCGGTAGGATTCAAAGCGAAAACTTGGATCCACATTTAATTGAAAAGTAAATTTTTAAAGTCATGTTAGCGAATACTCTACTCCTAATCGACATGCATTTGACGAAATCGTCGGTAATATGACTGCAAGAAAATGAAGTCGATGAAATGATGAGTGAATGATGAATGAATGAAGTCGACGTCGTTCTCTAAGTCCGAGTGCTTTCCCCGAAAACAACCCGTGGGTAAATTTAAAGAAAAATTAGCAGTATGAAACTGACTTCTTGAAAAAACGAGATTTAATGTTCCCCGAGGACTCGAGGGACCGCAGTTTGCTGGAGCAATTTTGTGTTGCGAGGCGAGGAAGCCGTGAAGAAGCAACTTGCAATCAGGCGTAGAATGAATTCCGTCACCCCAGGAATATTATGCAATATGGAGCGAGAAAACCGCAAGAATCGAATTGTTCGCTCCTCACTCAATAAACTGAATTTCTCTTGCAAACTCCGCAAATACAGGAACTTTTTAGAAAAAAAATATTATTATTGGGCGATTTGTAAGCGTCATATATTCCATTGTACAATTTCCTAAATGGCAATTATAGAATTACTTTCCTGCAGAGTTCCCGGAATGGATGACGGTAACTTTGTATTACGAAATAGTACTTACTGCAACAGTACCTAGGAAATGAATATAGCACGCAAATTTCGTCACCCACCATTGTTCCCAGTGTCAGTTTTTTTCCGGCAGAATTCCAGTACCGGCTAAATCTCGTTTGCCCGGAGGGCAGTAATATTAATAACTGAAGATAGGCGTCTGCACGGGATAGCCGCTATTCGCTTCTCTTGCGACCGTGGACGAGAATCCGTTCAAAGATTGGAAATGCGGAATTCCCTATTTCGCGTCCGGGAACTTTCCGGCCTATCTGGCCAAGAATTCTGCTCCCTTGGCCCTAACGCGCGATGCCTGCAAGCCATGCCTGTCGAGGCCTGAGGCTCGGGGGAAGAACGCGGGAGGATGCGAATGGATTCAAGAGAAAGGAGAGGAATCACGAAATGCAGGGTTCTTCACGAAATAATTGAATATTGTGGGCTTCGTGTCCGGGCCACTCAGACATGGGCCTCTGCTACATGAGCCAGACTCATGAGGCCTACAAGACAATGCCTTTCTTTGGCATGAACTAAGCGAAATAACCTATGTTCGATATGGCCGAGGGACACCCTTTTTATCGGAAAAAAGGCTTGGTGAGCACCATGGGGGTCTTACTTCGCAGCTGTTGCAGATCATCCATCGTTTCCTTAAAGGCCATGTACGTGAAGGCGACGAAGGGTCAGATCCGCGTGGATTAATGGATATAGAGTGACTTGACGTCCAGTGCGACCCACCTCCCCTCCCACTTTTCCCTGACACCGACAGCGAGACATTAATTGATGGTCTCATTAATCAGGGCCCTTAATGACTGTTGGGCAGCTGGCGTCGCAGTCCTCATGAGGATCAGCATTGATTTGCCATCGTTTAGTGGACGATCATCTCCTTTCTTTGGTTCATCTGCATTTCAAGACATTCCTTCGCTGGGTCTCAAGCCAGGTGAGTCAAGTTTCGTTCTTCTTCGGTATAATCATCCTAACAATATACTAAAATAAACCAATAAAACCTCACTTCATAAGTCAAATCTCAGAAGTGAACCTTTTTCATAATGTCATAAGTATGTACGTCAACTGCGCCTTTAAATAATGGTTCCTTTAATCAGCATGGTTGTGCTAGCCCAATACCCAACTGTCATATGCAATATTGAAATATGGAAATGGATTCGCCCATGCAGCCTGAACTGGGGACGAGTACTAAATGGGCCATTCAGTTGGAGAAGTAAGTCGTAATTCGACAGGGTGTGCAAAACTTAGTCATGAAGTTACATAAATTAGTTCCCTGTTGACTGAAGTGACCGTACCTGAAACGGTTCTGTATGACATAAATTATTGAAGTTCATAAACTATTTTTAGCGTGACAACCTTCTATAACTTTTTTGTATCGGTGTGATATATAGATTTACAAATATTAGCAAGTAATTCGCGACTTCGGCCTCTTCTCCCCTCCAACTCGGCGCCAGACAGGAGAGCGATACCCCCTTCGCATTCAACGGTTGCCGATAGTTAGCTGACTCAACGGATTAAAACGGCATGGAGATTCTCATGGCCGTTGCGTTCCTTGCGGGGGTTGTGTTGGCGCAAATCTCGACCGTCAATTATCAGGTGTACAAGATGGGAATGATAGTGATGAATCCCATCATGGAAATTCCATTCACGTCAAGCGTCAACTGCGCCCTTCATTGTGACAGGTGAGTCGGTTACAATCCCCAATCGAAATGAAACGCAATCATTTCACGTGAAATCATGCAAATTTCTTTGAGCAGCCTCTCCTCCTGCTACGCCTTCTCTTTAAAGACGATATCCGGCGGTGTCAACTGTCGGCTGAGCGGATGGAAGCCGCAGCTCGCGCCAGATCCGAATAGCGATTTTTTCATTGGAGAAATTCCTTCAGGTAAGACTTCTGGGATCCCTCTTCCCGTCCCCTTCACGATAGCCCGAAATAAACGTATAGTGATGAGGTTTCCAGACCAAGTTTCAGTGGAGGAATTAAAATCAACTGATTTTGTGGAAGCGTCTACCCCCTTCATAACGATCGGGAAATGTTCTCTCCCAGTGATGTAGTTTTGGTTGTGATATCAATTATTATATGGGTCGGGGCCGTATTTCTCTAAATGGGAAGAGCAGAAACATGAGGAAATGGAATGGAAGCAATCATAAAATAGGTTTTAGCAAAATATATAGAGCTAGAAAATTACAATAATGGCAAGAGTCCTTATTGGAGTGAAGAAACGGTTATCGTTAAACATTATAGGTGGATTCACCTGGAGTACCCTCATTACAGAATACCTGCCAGTAGCGAATTCAACGAGATACGTAAAGATGGTGTACGAGACATTGTTGGTTCTGAAGAATCCGTCGTACCTAAAAAAGAATTGGAATGAATCTCAAGAAGCTTGCAAGGCGGATGGAGGGTGGCTGGTCATCGACAACGACGACATCATCCGCGACTACCTGTTCAACTTCCTCATGGCCAATGGAATCTTTCCAGGCTACAGGGGCTTCTGGGTTGGAGGATACAGCACGTTCGACAAATGGCACTGGGTGCTTCTCGATGGCGAGCTCATCCCTTTTTCCGACTTCTGATACGAATTATTTTTTATCACTCCTGTAGATTCATCCTTTCCACGGTAATTTTGGATTTGATAAACCCAACCCAACGATGATCGGGGCAAGACCTCCCAGCCCGACTTAAATAACATTCCATTTCTACTCCCGCAGATAGCGTGAAAGGATCAATGTGGCGATGTGTGGGCAACATTTTATTTTCTGCAATCATTAAATGGACCTCTTTTTTCCGCAGGACTTACATGCGGCATAATGCCGTTAACATGTTCAACATGACCCTAGCTTTTATTCATATACTATGATCACGCATACTCAACCTTCAAAAAGCGTATTGAGCGCACATGCAACGTAGCTTGATTTGAACACACCAGCAATGTTGAAACGTCTCTTATTTAAAGATTAAGTCAATCCAGGTTCAGTCTTAACGCAGTAATACTTTTGCAACGTTGAAGCAATATTTTTGAGTATCCTGGAATGTTGAGATTCTCTCAGATTGGATGACATTGAAATACTCTGTTCAATACGATGCAAAATTAAAGCTGCTATGTATTATTTCTCGACTTTTTTTTCTTCAGGGACGCAGATGAACCTGACAGGACTGGGACAATGGCACTTCGCAGTGATCCAGCCCGCTGGGACTGGAGGATGTTTGCAATTCTTCGCGAAATACGATGATGTATATTGCTGTGGGCTGTGGAAGGACTATCCTTGTTCTCTGACCAATGAGGGATACCTCTGCGAGATCCAACTCCTTTGATTCTCAGAAGCTCATGGTTTCTGCACAGGCATGCAGATAGCTTCCCACATCCGGTGCTGGCCTGCCTTCGGAAGGAAAACTTGTTGCACGCCTTCGTATGCGCAGAAGCACATGTCGGAAGACCAAATGAATGTCCAGCACCATTTTTCTACTAACTGCTATTCTCATGGGTTTCTCTAACAGTGTTTACTAATAGTTTCGACGTGCCGTAGGGTATTTTAATCACATATTCCAATGAAATGCATTATTAAGTATACCACTCCTTGCACCTTTTTTGTTGCCGAATGCAATGGTAATTTCTAGACTTTCCCTTGGGAATTGGGGACTGAGGGGACACGCATCATAACCTTGAACGACACGTTGTCAACGATTGATTGTTCTAGCATGTAAAGCTTTATGAATTTTCAAAACTTAATCTAGTAGTTCTCATTCCGATAGCTGCTGTGAAATAATCGTCCTCCAAATAGACATTGTCTATTCACCTTGTTCATAACTGTCGTATACATCCTGAAACGCGATCATATTTTCATGTGTCGTATTCAGCATTATCGCAATCATAGACTGAATATCCAACTCTCTTCGCAGCGATTTTTCCATAATGGGGGCTAGTACAATAAACTCTCATGAGATCGGCCACTAATGAATTGATGCAGGTCATGAAAGCGAATTTCGTGTTTCAT